ATACAAACTGAACATATAGTTACTAACATAAATGCACCTGTGAAGGGTATTTAGCTTCGGTGCAACCGAAGTTAACGTTTTTTCTTGTTTTTTGTTGATTTAATGTCGCCAAGAAAATATGGCACCGATAAAGGTGATTGTGAAATGTAAGGGCAACAGGTGTATTAGAATAAGCAAAATTATGACAGGATACTAAACTGGAAAAAAGAGAGATTTCAGTTAGACATTTTTCGCAAGGGAAACATCGAAGAGGTATGTAGATAGAGAACAACTTCACTTCTCACATTACATTGTATAAGTATACGTTTATACAAAGTTATGACAACGGAGCGGAAGGTAAAATATAATTGCACATTCATAAATCCACGGAAGTATGTATAACACATAAACAGCTATTTATTTCAATGCAGTTGTGATTCATCGATACCCTATTAAATAGCTACCTTTGCTTTCCCCACATACCTTTGTTTGTTTAAAACAGATATGAATTGTTATATTTATAAAAAATATCTAATAACCAAAAACAATGTGTAAAATAAGCTAAAGGTATATAATATTATGATTCTGAGTCATAAAAATTTTAACTGAATACAACTTTGATGCAATGTTGAATTTCTTATTTCTTACTTTCTCCATTCTATGTACTTCTACTTTCGAAGAGTTTACGTACTACGACACAAAAATGTTGATCTGATTTTCAATTAAAACTATATATGTATACTCAAATGTATCGATCTCATGCAATTATTTCAAATAAAACTTACATTATCAAAGATACGCCGCGCCCGTCGCCGGTCATCCGTTTCAACTCCTGTAGGGGCGGATTGGCTACGATTCAATGGGATAACTTCCATGTCAATTGTATCTTGACGACGTGGTGGTGGACGAGACGTTGTCGGTTTTTGTGGTGCTTGGCCACGTTCAGACGGCATTTGTGGATAGAGACCATTTTCGACATCTCTTTGATTGCTATGGCTGTTTGCTGCTTGTCCTGACATTTTGTTAGGCTAAGTATATCTGCTAGTTGTTCAAAAAATAGTGTTAATAGCTGTGTTTTATTTTTAATTAAGGAACCGTTGTCAAGAAATTCCACTTGAAAATAAAAATAATTTTACTATTTTGTACTGGTTTTGAGTTTACATCACGAATGCTTTTAGTGATTCTATCAGCTTATTGTAAAGTTTAGCATTGCAGTTTTTACAAACTTTGCACTACTTTCTCTTTCTTAGCACATATTAATGAAACAATTTTTTTGTATACACACTTATATTCTTTTTAATTTCATTCTTATTGAAAATAATGTATTTTTTGCTGCAGATTTTTATGGATTAATTTAAATATGAATAAGCTTATAAACCATAGTACTTTACGATGATATAAACAATGAAAAACTTCTTGTTTAAAAATACTACAGCAGTATAATTAAATATTAATACAACTTTTTGCTGCACTGCATTATTTTAGCTTATTCACAACACAGTAGTCTACTGAGGTCACAATAGCACTAAATTATCGACTAATTGAAATGTTCATCCAGAGATCGTATATTTCAGACAGAGAACGTCGTGATAGACGTTCTCTGATAATAATAAACGTTCTCTGATAATTGTTATAATCTAAGATTTATGAAAAGAATCATATGGCTGTCAAAATTTTAACACAGCAAAGATCAGCTGATCGAAATAATGCGTTTTTCGGCGACAGAGATTTAAATAAAAGGAATGTAATATAAAAGGTTTTTGGTGATATGATATGCACTTTTAATGGCTTTTCATCACCATCTGGGCGAAATAAAGAATATTAATAGAAGGTTGGCGTCATCTGATAGAAGCCATGATTTGTATCTCTACCATCATTCATAGATAGAAGCTGTATTGTGAACCAAGTATTTACATAGAAATTGTAATATTAATATTGAGTAGTTTCGTATTTCTAATAAACTTCTCTTATTTTATTTTATTTTTATATTAAACTATAATGAAACAAAAAAGTAACATTTTGGTCGACCACTTTTTGCGCTTTCCGCTAGTGTAAATCCATAACGGAAGCAGCGAGAGCCAGTTCTACGCACCGGAATTGACTCAGATTTTATCCGGGAAAGAGCGATCTAACCCCATTTGGATCGGTGAATTAATTTAAGTTCGCTCGCCAGATATTACCATTACTAGTGGTGATATGACAAATAGAATAACCTGATAACCTATGCTAACTCTCACATCAGAACACCTGCCCATAATTGTCTCGATCGAAAGAAATCCCGATTTTGTTTCTGTGGACAACTTTAACAAAGCTAACTGGGTCGGCTTCACAGAATTTACTGAGATCATCTTCAACGCTCTACTCATTCCTACCATGAATTACCTGAGTGGTCCATATTCGACCATATACACGAACTAGACGAAAGACTTGAGATTAATATTGCCGTCGACGGCGTCAAGATTCCGACTGTCAATAACCCTAAGATTTCAGATGTAACGTTTGATAGTCTATGCGCCTTCACCCCTCTGCGCATGACATTAGCTACCTATTTGCATGGCCCGCCAACCCCACTCATCTGACACACTTTTCCCTTGCCCCGAACCCGTCGAAACAGGTTTCCTGGACCTCCCGTTAGATGACGTCTACGACAACTTAGATAACCCTCACCACCTAACGGGGACATTCCGTTATAACAACAACAACTACCATTGTTGTGCTACACGAACTGATACAGCATCGTCTCCGTAAACTTTACAATTCTCGTTATGGCTTATAGAAAGTTCTTCATTATTTTGTTAAATGAAGCTTAAAATATCTTAGTCTCCATTCGACATTATGCACTTATGCTAGGGCTTCTGCCACTCGACGAAACACTTCTCAAACTGGATTCTTTAAAAGCGATCCGCCGGAAGTATATTTTATTACATAAATTTTTGTTAATACTGAAGTAAAGAAAATATCTCGTACATGGTTCAATTATACGATGTTGTGTTACTACGAAGGTTGCTTTCCTTTACGAAAAAATTCATTACATTAAAAAAATGTTTTTTGTTTACATTTTGATGGTTTTATGTGATTTACAATCTATTCGTATTAAGCTATCACTCAAAAACGCAGTTTCATTGGTTGAAATCTTTGCAAAATCTATTTTTAAAACATAAAAGCAAAGCAAAACGGCTGTTTTTGACCTTGAACTTTACTTGAATTTTTGTAAAAACTAACATGTTTCTTTTTTATTAATTCATATATATTTTTAATAACAACAATATTAATTAACCAATTAAATAATCAATAAATATGTTTAAATAATACATTAAACTTTGAAATCCCGATGTTTCTCCAAGTATCTTCGGTGAAGATCTTCTTTAATTCGTTGAAATTCACCTTCTTCGTCAAATAAAGCTTTAGTAAAGTATTCGACGAAAACGCGACTTATGTACTGATCTTTAGCCGAAGGAAAACATCCCTCTAGAAATCCAATGTGGCCTCCACGAGCAGTTACGATAATAGCCACGTGACTGCTTTCGTTTGCGGCTTTGATGGGAATGGCTAAAGTAATAAAAAGTTAACTATTTCATTCTAAGAGAGAAAAACTCAGGAATACCCACCATCAAGCGGTTGAAATGGATCATCGGCAGCACTCAAACACAGTAGTGGCACGGAGATGTGATGCAATTTATCTTGCAAAGTAGCATCGTTGTAATAATCTTCTACACTGCGATAACCAAAATGTTTAATGGTAAAATTGGTGTCGAATTCTCTGATTGTTTTGCACTAAAATAAATTAAATTAATACACATATATCATCATTTTATCACTTTTAAGCCTACCGTTTTAATACTTTTCATATCGAGTTCCTGATGTTCGTGCAGTCCACTTCTCTTTAACGTACGATACATGTTTTGTGTTAATATACGTCCGAGAAGATTATTTAAAATAGGTTGTTCTATACTATCAATAGCTATTGATTGCAAACCGAAAATATTTGAAGTCAAATAATTTTTATTAAAGAAATAAGGAACGGTTAAGTTTGGGTGTAATCGAACATTTTATACTCTTAAAATTATGGTGGGTTTTGACTATTTTAGATCTTAAGATTGCATAAATTGCAAAGTCTTATATGGGTAACGACATGGGCTATAGATTTATAGGCGGAATTTAAAATTGTTATATAACGGAGGTTAGTATGGCTGTAGGCCGATATAGCCCATTTTCACAATGTTTCATAATATCGTTAAATATATTAATACAGTTATCGCTTTCACGGACGAAAGGACGGACATACCATACATGAAATGCAACTCATTTTGTCATCCTCATCGTTTATACATATGTATGTATATACCCAACTCAATATTTTTCTCTATTAGTGCTAGGTGGTACAAACAACGATAGATGAAAAAATATTCATCTAGAGAGTATAAAAATGCATTATCGGTAACATACCTTTATGCACATTCCAAGGTACTGAAATTATTTTAGCTGCCGATAAATATGTCCGCGCTTCCTGGCTTCTACGTGCCAAATAATTACCTTGAAACAGAATTAAGTAACAACTTGCATTCGTGTGAACTTATGAATATAAAACAATAAATCAGCTCACCCAACACTAGGCCACCCATCGAAACACCAGTAGCTCCTATTTTGCAGTGTGCAGGCAATACATTTCGAACATGTTGCACTACCTCAGCCAAATCCTCACAGTTACAGGCATTGTAGAGGCGTGGCGTTTTGATAGTTACACCACCAAGTCCGCGATTATTAAAGACGATAACACGTATGCCAGAATTATTGGCCGCGTATACTAGGCACTTTACATATTCGTCTTGAGAATTACCTGTCAAGCCGGGCAAAATAATAATACAAGGCGAATTGGAATTACAATTCGTGTCCATCCAGTCCAAAGCTACTTCGCCTCCATCTTTCAGAGTGTAAATTTCCCTAAAAAAGTATAGGAATGAAAAATAGCATTCAAAATGTTCAGCAAAATATTTATGGTATGTAACTAAATTCGATTAAAATTTTTTTCATTCATTTGAAACAACAAAGCTATTATTGGAAACCTTCGGCAGAAAATCAAAAGCTTTCTTTATAGCTGTAATACAAATAGGGAAATTTCGAGAAAGTGTGGAGCTTTCGTAAGTATTGTAAGCTAAATAAGGTAACAACTTTTAAATTTACTGCCAGCCTGGGTTCAGAAAAAGTTAAGTAAAATTCAAGAGAGAGAGCTTTTGAAGGAGATTTGGAGTGGTAAATATAAAATTGCTAGAGAAGTAGGCCACAATATATCAGCGACTAGCTTGACTTGTCCACAGTAAGATCGAGGATATAGTTGCACTTATGAATCGGGAACGTGTAGTGATAGCTGCGGTCTAAGAAACCAAGCTAAACAGCCACTCAGATCTTCTGAGATGTGCCGGTTTCGACGTTTTACGTAAGGATTGCAAGCGAGATAATGGTGGTGGCCTAGCCTTAATATTGCACAACACCGTGCAGTATCGTCTAATCTATGAAGGTATTGACCGCAGGGATACTACCCTAGAATGTCAGGGTATAGCTATTCGGTCAGGCGATGTCGAGCTCGAAATATTTAATATATACGTGTTGTCCTACAGGATATCACCCGAATATAGGTGCGCTACTTCGTGGTGAAAACGACGTTTTTTACTAGGCGACTTTAACGCGCACCATGATCTTTGGCATTCCTGCCTGTCAAATGATCGTAGGGACGACATCGACCTTCTGCACAATGAATGACGAAGCCCCCACCAGAATTATGGGCATCTGTAATAGCTCGCCTGATATTAGCATCGCTAGTGGTGGTCTCATAAATAGCATAACCTGGCGAAGCCTCCTGATTTCGTTTCTGTGGACAACCGTACCTTCATTAACTTTAACAAAGCCAATTGGGTCCGCTTCACAGAATCTACCGAGAGCACCTTCAACACTCTACCTATTCCTACGGACAGGCTGCAGCCGTTTAGCTCCCACAACCACCAGAGGGAGTTCCCATAACCTCGTACGCAGATGGCTGCACGATATTGACGTCGGGCAATGGAATCGATGTCATGTGTTCGAAGGTAAAAAAAAAACTACCTCTCCGACCTTTCTCGTTTCCTCACTGCACGAAACCTCACACTTTCCCCACCAAATCCACAGCGACCATAGTTAGGAACTGGACGAAGGAGTATAGATTTGAGCTTAATATTTCAGTCGATGGCGTCAAAATTCCGGCTGTCAATAACCCTAAGATTTTAGGCGTAACCTTCGATAGTTTATGCTATTACCGTTCCCACGACAGTCGGGTCTACGAAAACCGGAACGGACCCGGATTTTTATCCGGCCAAGGACTGTTAACTCGGCAGAATTCTGCCGTTAGAACAACAACAACAACATAGTTTATGCTCCTTCTCTTCTCATACGACCGCGATTATCGCCACAAAATCTCCTCTCCAAACAGTTCCTGCTAGGATGTTTCCGTAGGAATCACCCTTGCAGTCATCTGCTTGGAGCGGATCCGCCTCCTAGGAGCATCAAAAGGTCCTGCCTTGACTACGTCGCCGACTAGAGCATATGAAACGAGACTATTGCTTCAAGCGCTTGAAGTTTCAAAAAGTTCTATGTTCTATTTTCCAGCGCTTTTGACAACAGATTTTGTAACTATGGTTGCCAGTCGTTACTTTTTCTTTATATATGTGCACACAAAATTTTAACATATCCATTTATGATAATTTAATATATAATTATATATATAATAAAATGACGTTTGACAAAAAACTAGTAAAATTAAATTTTTAAAAATACTTAAACTTTTACTAATGTTTTGTTTGGCGTTTTGATTCAGTAAGTGGCATACGGGCTTGTAACATCTCAAAGCGTTTTTTGGTTATGCAAGTCATACTGTCCAACTTGTTGAATTATGGTTCCCACGACAGTCGGGTCTACGAAAACCGGAACCGACCCAGATTTTTATCCTGCCAAGGACTGTCAACTCGGCAGAATTCTGCCGACAACACTAACAACAACAACATGAATTATGGGACATGGAAAACAATTTTTGAAGTTCTATTTCCCCAGACCCTGTCAAGCACCAGTTGATAGTATGTCGCATATCAGGTATCCAAAAGGAGACTGTACAAAATATTAATATCACTTTCTAAAGAAATATTTGTAAAGCAGAAGATTGATCCCAAAGGACTGTTTGGTTTTATTCATATCTGTTTTAAACAAAAGCTATTTATGATTTTTTCAACTAATTTTTTATTCGAAATCAATTCCGAAATTTACTTAATATATTGCATAAATAACTTAAGCGTGATCGTTATGTGAGTCACAGTATATGTACATATGTATTTAAATAAAAATTACGTATTTTGTCTTCTAATACTTATAACTGTGCATGAAAGATTACTGGTTAATTGGCCACAGCGTACATGTACATATAACAATAATATATTTAAATATAATAATAATAAATAAAGTCAAATTGTATATACAATATGTTTTAGTTTTTATATTAGATATTACCTTTTATAGCTAATAGGGGGTATAACTTTGGAACGTAAGACACTGGCAAAAACTGTTTGAGCGCGACTGTCTAAACACCAAAATGTAGGCCAAAACTTAACACTCAATGTTGGTATTTCCCGCAGAAGATAATTTTTAAGTGGTCCTTCGGCGCAAACAAATGTGGGGCGCTATAATAAGTTAGAGGGCAAAAAAAACAAATAAAAAATAAAATAAAGTATATTATATAAATACTGATTTTCCTTATAATTACTCCATATTTGGGTGAGCCGAAAGAATAACCTATCGAATTTTTGTGGTAAGTGATCCCGTATACGAGAGAAAAATATTAATGCAAGGCAGGATGCATTTTTTCTCAATTTTAAAATGTCTCAGCGAGTTTTAAGTTTCCCATATTTAATAAATTTATTTAGTTTATTAGAAAATTACATAACTTTAGAATCGTTTAGGATAAAATATGAGATTCATTTTGATCCGCCATTATAGTAGGAGATCCCACCATAGTACGACCATCACCCATCGTATTACGGGATGAAAATATTTTTTATATAAAATGTATTACATTCAATTATTGATTTCGACGCACTAAACTGTAGACTAATGGAAAGTATATAGATTATAGAATATGCAAACACTGGGTTGTAGGCAGGTACATACGGGAAAATTGACAATAGTGATTTGCAACTATCCACTTATGCGATAAACCTTATATCAAAATAAAGATAATTTTATTGCAAGTAAAATGATATAAGGTTATCTGCGAAAAATTGGTGCTGAATCCCGGTTGTCGATTTTTAAAAACCGAAATATTCGTGCGACTGAATACGTGCGAATATTATTACATTACATTATTACACATTATTACATTTTTCATACAATCGAAAAACTGATATTCGTTAGGTTAATTTTTGAATCACCCTACTCCATATGTACATACATATCGTCACCTGAAATGCAAAATAACGGAACAAGATTTTCGGAAATTTACAGTGGCCCGAATGAAACACGAAATAAAATGAAACATGAGAAAAATTTTAATATTGGTTAAAACTCGTTGATATCTGACCGCAGAACATGAAAATGTTGAACATATGTAATATTATGTTTGTAATTTGACGTAGTGAAGCGTAATCAATAAGACACTCAATTTCGAATTTTTTGATGATACGTTATTTTGCATTTAAGGTGACGATATGTATAAAAACAAATTAACTTACTTTAACCACTAGTATAAGATAATAGGTAAAATAGGCGATTAATCCGAAACCTAATACATGATAACCTGGTAAATTTGCCCAATAACTGTAAAGTGAATCCAGCATCTTGCAGAATATAGTATAAGTATAAGTGCTCAAAGTCCGTATTTGAGTTTTATTGTGATCAAAGTCAACTTATTGAACTATAGATCTGCAATGAAATAAAAACGATGTTATTAAAGATTTATGAGGGCTGATCATAAAAATGAAAATAATTAAAAAAAATAAAAATTAAAATAATAAAAAGTATTTAGAGTCATCGAAATGTTTCTTATACTCTTAGCTATAAACTAAGGTAAAAACTACATTATATGTATACCATTTATAGCAACATACAATAATAAAACTCCGTGTGAAATTTTCATAAAACTAGTACATTGTCAAACAAATATTATAGTAAAATTACTATATTGGGATGATCCAGGAAATTGCATAAAAAGTTTTAATAAGAAATAATATTTTAAATTTTTAATCTTACAAATTGGACTATTCATCCCAAATACTGTAATTCAGTTTACCAACACATAATTGAACTAGCTTCATACAGTACACACTAGTATATTATTAATTGTTTTTCTTTACATAGATTTTATTTCTTAATATTGCCCTGAAGGAATTACCCCCTTATACTATCAAGTAGCTAAAAATATATTTTTTATCGTTCTAGTAATTTTACAATTGTTTTCTCTATTTCACTTACGTTCGCTTACAAAATACTTATGTAGGTAAGGGAACACTGACCATTCGTTAGTATGTACATACATATATAATATAAAAATATTGAATTCAAGTATTTTTGTTATGACTATTACTAAATAAATATGTATAAATAATTCAGTGAAGTGTTTTTAATATATATCTCTCAAGAATAATAAGTCAACAGCAGCTATCGGTATATAATCTCAATCTAGAGAACGGCATCTAACAGACCGCAGCTATTTTACTCCCGAATCTCGGGGACGCTCTTCTAAAATTTTTGTTTTTTAGCATGGATAATTAATTTGCTTAACTACCCATTGCGAAACTAAGATTTGGTAGTTTAAATCGTAATTCTTTTTTGTTGACTACTTTATACATCTTTGTGGTAGTCACGTTATGGAGAGTTGATAAGGTGGGTAAATTATAGAATAGCATCCCCCGATTTCGGGTTTAAAATGGGTATGTACGGATAGCGAAGGTTTTCCAGATCAAGAAAATATATACTTTGCCGCTGACTTATGGTTTTTGAGATACTTGCATTGAAAGTTCAAAATTTTGTTAATTTTTTTTTTTTTGTTCACACAATAACAAAAGGGGTGCTTTCTAACTAATAATAGGTGTTACCTTACGTGCATATTTTATAAAAGAATCAAACAAATAACACCTCAATGTCAGGAAATAAATAACCCATTCTTAGGTTTTCGAATTCATAAACATAAGCCTGGTTGGACCAATACCTTGGTATCTTTAGTATCTTTGGCCGCGATTCAAAAAAATAATCCTGGTCGCACCAATACTTGGACGTGGTCAGTTCTTTCAATTTGAACTCCTTTTTAAGTTAATGGCCTTCGGTTTAACAAAACAAAGTGGAGTTAGTGGATATAAAATATAATAATATGAGTGTAAAATTCCTTGAGAATAGGAGAAACATGAACTTTAAATGCAAATCTCTCATAAAACCATAAGTCAGCTATATATATATATATATATATCCGTACATACCGATTTCAACCCCGAAATCGGGGTATGCTTTTCTAAATCCCGGCCGACAAGGCTGATATTAGCAAACAATACAAAGTCTACGTATGTACATGCCATGCGGCCATACTATTGGACTTCGAACTTTAACTCTCATATAATGATGCACTAACAATTGAGAACACTGTTTGGTATAGAATTTAAATTTTAATTCAATTCTTACGGGCAAAGTTCTTTTTAACTAATCGCCAAATATTCCGCAACTGTATTTATTTATAGTTACTTCAAAATCACAAAACAATATTGATTTATCCAATATTTTCTGACTCATTTCAATGTTAAACCTTGATTGCCGGTAATTTGACGTGTTTTCCTATGGTTTCTCTAAAAAAAAATTTTGTTTTGGTTTTTAAATTCAATCTTCACTTGCAAATGTTTTTGCTCACTCTTTCTAATTGATTACCGGATTGTAATCTTATCACTTGTTATCTTATTGTACACTAATATTAGTACATGTATATACAGGACAAAATTTAATAATATAACAACAATATAATAAGTAAGAGAGCGTCAATCAGCTGTCGACTTCTGTTTGGTAAATKTCGCAAATACGAAACAAATGTAATA